TACCTCTTAAATTTCAATAAATGTTCAATATGCTTTATAATATAGTTAATATATATATATATATATATATATATATATATATATATATATATATATATAAGAGAGAGAGAGAGAGTTACCTAGGTTCATGTATTCTAACTATCTATTGTATGGATGTAGGAATGATTGTGAGCCAATCATTTCAAAAGGATAATTTTGTAATCTAACATTTAATTAATATTTTTAATTTAATTAATTTGATATTCATCCTAAATTAAATCCTTTATATTAGACAGGTAATTATGAAAAAAGTAATTCACTTTTTCTAACCCTAAATTTATCCCCTTTATCTATCAACCAAAACACCGTTACTATCAGCCGACCATAGCACCTCCCTCATTTCAATTCGACATCAACCCAACTCTGTCCTCCTTCTTCTTCACCGTCGGCCACTTTTGCCTCCTTCCTATCACCGTAGCCCCCTATGATGGGTGTAGGAGGAAGCTTGGATACGAGATTTAAATGCAAGGCATAGATTGAGTTACGTAGGGTGTCGAGGCCCAAAAACAGCTTCATTCACCGACACCCTCAAATCTGAAACTCTCATTTTTGTCTCAGTGTCACCCCTCGCCACCGATCGCCTCCCATCGCATCCTCCACCTCTGATAATCGTCATTCGACAACAGTTAGCACTCGACATAGTGTCCCTTAGGGCTCAGTCCTCACATAATCACATGACCATCGACTGAAGACGTCTACCGTATTCTGCTTCCTATCTTAGCCTCCACCTTTCGCTTGTGCCACTGACGACCTCCTTATTAAGGTAATTTCTTTTTTGTTCTAGTTCAAACGAAACAGTGAGTTGTGACATTTTCAATTTCTTTTCATCTAATGTTTTCTATAAGCCTATGCTATTCTGAATTTTCGATTTCTAATTTCTTTTCAAACGGCTATGCTTTTGACTTCTGATTTCTAATCTTTGCTATTTTCTATGATATTCCCTGTGATTTTATTTTTGAAGTGTTTGTTGTAATTTCTTTTTTAACTAGAATATGCTTCTAATTTCTTTTCTGATTTCTAATCTTTGATAATCGATATGATATTGATGTGTTTTAAGTTTTGATGTGGCATTTGCTATGAATGTATGTTTGATTACAAGGTGCTTAAAATTTCTGAGAATGATGTTCAACCCTTCAAGGTAAATTGCCATTCTAACTTATAAATCCTATCACAGAAAGATGCTTAATGTAGTTTATTTAGGTGAAAATATGAGGGAATGCAACTGTTAAAACATGTCATACTAGATTTGGATACATTTTTCTTTTGCCACTGAAACTTGTGTAACCTTTTCTACATACTGAAACTTGCATGCTTTGTTATATGTCTCTACATGCCATTCAGTTTTTGAACATTCCTGACTTATACATACATACAGGATATGTTTGCTCAATATCTTTCAACTTCTGTTTCATACTTATTCATTGCTTCTGATTGACATATGCTTGCTCAAATATTTCATTAGTAATAGTAAGTTGGAAGAACTTAATCATATTTACATTGATTTCCTACAGATGGTGGCGAATTCCGATTCTGTGTGAATATATGAGTGTGGTTGTGTTTAAGTGATTAAATATCATGAACAATTAAATATATGTTGTAAGCAATGTTTCTGCCAAAATTGAATCTTTGAATTTCAATTATGTCAGAAGAGAATCATGAATTCCGATTCTGTGGGAATTAAATCTCGATATTTTCTCTATGATATGTGTATTTTCTACAATTCTAATTCTATCAAAATGGAATCACGAATTCCATCTCTATCGGAATGGAGTCACGAATTCCAATTCTGTTGGAATGAAATATGGATATTTTATCACTGATTTATGCATGTTCTACAATTCTTGGTTATTGGTTTTGGTGAAATTCACAAGTCCGCATATTTTTCGAAAGGAATTTAGTTTTTTATTTTTCATTTGCTAATGCGTTATTCGTAACTAAACAACAATTGGATTTGTTTTCACAAAAGTTGATGTTTGAAGAAGTTGATGCTTGAAGAACATACCACAAAATTGAAAGTGATTCTTAGCAACATTGTATTAATGTATTTGTTAGATTTTGATATTTTTTTCCCGATTTGAAAGTTATTTTAGTTTTATTCTTTAACAATAAATGTAATTCTTAGGAATTATTACATGTATTCTATAAGTATTAATGTAATTTTTGTTTTTATTCTTCAATTGATGGTTCCAGAATTTGTTATTCTACAAGAAGTTTTTAAAGTCATGATCAAGAAATAGGTTCAAGAATATTTTTATTAT